GAGGAGAGGAGAATGAGGATCCTCACAGATTTATTGACAGATTCTTGATGATCTGTGACTCAACCAAACACCCTCAGGTGTCTAATGATGCAATCCGGTTGAGGTTATTCCCTTTTGCTGTTAAGGGAAAGGCTCTTAATTGGTTGGAGAGGCAACCTGCAAGAAGCATTCCTACATGGGATGATCTATCACAAAAGTTCTTTGCTGAGTTCTTCTCAATGGAGAGGTACAATAAAATGGTGAATGATATCACCAATTTCACTCAATCAGATGGTGAAACTATGTGTGCAGCATGGAACCGATTCAAGGATTTAATGAGGAGGTGCCCTCATTATAACTTGACCGCTGGTAATCAAGTGAGAATTTTCTTCAATGGTTGTAAACCTGAAGTGCGGATGGTGCAGCAGGTGGCAGTATTAAATCCTTGAGAGCAAATGAGACTTTTGAGCTGATTGAAAGAATGGCTGCAAATGAAAATGAAGGTTTGTCATCCAAGCCTAAGAGAGGTATCCTTCAGCTGGAAGGTAATGATGTGGTGCTAGCTGAAAATAAACTATTATCTCAGGAAATAGCAAACTTGACTTCAAGGCTTGACAAGATGCATCTTTCTGGTATTTAGGCTCAAGCTGCTGCTGTTGTATGCAGATATTGCAAGGACAATCATGAGTCTAATGAATGTCCTTCTTTGATGGCTTCTGATTCTCCGTAACAAATGAAAGTGAATGGCATCTAGTATGATCAGAGACCTCAACAACAAAATGTTCAACGAAGTCAGAATTTTTCTGCTGGAGGTAGTAATTATCAATGGAGGATTCAAGGCACTGGTCTTAATTTCACATCAAACAACTATCTGCAGCCTCCACCAATCCAAACCAAGGAACCTTTTGATTTGGAGAGGTTAGTTGGACAAATGGCTCAACATTCCAACGCCTTCATGGAAGAGACTAGGGCCAATACCAAAAATACAAATGCATCTATCAGAAATTTGGAGAATCAGATTGGCCAACTGGCTAAGCAAATTGCTGATAGAACTCCAGGCACCTTCTCTAGTAATACAATTACTAATCCAAAGGAAGATTGTATGGCTATCACAATTCGAAGCGGTAAAGTGGTGGAAGCTCCAGAAAAGCCAAACATAAAGGTAGGAGTTGATGAGAAGTTTAAGGAGGTTAAGGAGCCAGAAAAAGAATTAGTAATTCCTTCTACTATTGAGAAGCCTCTTTAGAAAGGTAAAGAAGAAGAGCAACCGCTTATTGCTGAAAAGAAGAAATTTGAGTTGAGTCCTGAATATGTGAGAGCCATGACACCTTATCCTGAAAGATGCTCAGAAACAGAAATATGTCGGATTTCTTGATATCTTCAAAAAGTTGCATGTTAATATACCCTTTGTTGAAGCCTTGGCTAATATGCCTAATTATGCCAAGTTTATGAAGGACTTGTTATCAAGAAAACACAAGCTGCAGGAATGCCAGATAGTAACACTCACTGAGGAGTGTAGTGCCATAATACAGAAGAAGTTTCCTCCCAAACTTCATGATCCAGGGAGTTTTAATATTCCTATTTCCATTGTAACACAAATGTTGGCAAAGCTTTGTGTGATCTTGGGGCAAGTATAAATTTGATGCCCTTGTCCGTGTATAAATCTTTGGGGATATCTGAGCTTAAACCTACTATGGTTTCCTTACAACTTGCTGACAAATCTTTAAGAAAATCCAGTGGTATAATTGAAGATGTCCTTATGAAAGTGGACAAGTTCATCTTTCCAGCAGATTTTGTAGTGTTGGACATGGAAAGGCGAACTGAAATGCCTCTTTTGCTGGGTAGACCTTTCTTGGCCACTGCTCGGGCTATGATTGATGTTGAAAACAGAAAGCTTGAGTTAAGGATGAATAATGAGACCATTACCATCAACGTCTTTGACTCTATGAAACAATTTTCTGACAAAGGCGATTGTTTTAGACTTGATGTTCTAGAGCAAACGGTGAAAGAAGAAATATCTTCTAGTCAAGAGCTTGATGAAGAACTTGAAGCGCGTGATATTGTTCCTTTTAAGGAAGAAAAGAATGTGGCGTTTGAGGTTCTTGATATGCCTCTAGCAGATGTAGTTTTCTAAGCTGAAATTGATAAGAATTGAGTCATAAAAGAGCAATTTATATACATATTTGCTTACTATATTGATTCTTTCCATGTCAATGATATTTCTCACCTATTGTTGTGTTTATATAGGTAGAAGAAGTGAAAACTACAAAATTGTAAAAAGCTTGTTGACGTGACTCCACACGGGTGAACCTTGGGCCAAATTCCAGAGAGTTGGCGCAAAGTGGCACCACTCTGGCGCAAGATGGCGACGTGCTCCTCAGTACAATTTCCAGAGAGTTGGCGCAAGTTGGCGCCACACTGGCGCCAACCCGCGCCGGTTTGCAAGTTCACAAGACCGCATTGGTATAAATTCCAGAAAGTTGGCGCAAGTTAGCGCCACACTGGTGCCAACCCGCGCCGGTTTGCGAGAAAAGAAAAGACCGTGTGTTTGAAGTGTAATTTTGGAAGAATGAAAAGAGGCGTATAAATAGGATTCTTTACACAGAATTAGGGATCCGAATTTCAAAAGAACCGTCGTACCTCAGAAAGGGAGCTTCCAAGAGATCTTCTTGTTCATCTCTGTTCTTCCATTCTTATATTTCCTATTTGATGTTGAATATTGCTATGTCAGTCATGACAATGATTGGCTAGTTCTTTTTATTGTAGTTAGGGTCATAAACCCTATATGAACCATTGTTACAACGGATTGGTTTATGATTGTTCGTTTATATATTATCTTTATCTCTACCCTGTGCGTAATTTATATTTTCTTTATTAGAACTGATCAATCTAATAGTTGATGATAGTCTGAGGGTTAGAACCCTAGATAGGAATATTGGAGTTTTGATCTTGAAAGGGGGTAGGAAAACAATTTATATGCATGCTGGGATTAGATGTATATTCTATTGCAGATGCTTAAATTATTGAGTTCATTGCTTATTGCCATGAGGAACATTGCAAGGAATTAGGGTTCCAATTGGGATTAAAGGGTTAACCTTGCAAGGAATTGAAGGTTAACTATTAAATATTTTTATATAATAATTTATCTGAGTAATTATATAAATGAATGTTGTAAATCAATCCAGAGTAAGATACATGAATCATTTGGTGAGTGCACTCTAGCTACAATGCTTTCTCATACTTTTACAAATCAATCTCTATTTTTATTTTTACTTTTCATCATAAAAACCATAAAATTACATTCTTGTTCTTAGTCTTTTTTTTACTAAAATCAACAATGAATTTCACACACCTATTTGAATTCCTTCCATCTTAAAAGAATATTATTTGATATTCGATTCCAATCCCTGTGGAGACGATACTTTTCTTATCACTGTATTACTTGTGCGATCGGTATACTTGCCGGTGAGCATCAGGAACGATCTTTACTTATCACTTTTATTACTTGAAACGAACGGTATACTTGCCGATTTCGCAACATATAACTTATGTAAAAAAGTTGTTTCCTCCTTTTTATATTTAAGTTACATGTTTGTGGTCTTGCAGGCAGAAAAAGTTGGCAGCTCTCTTGAGTTTTTTTATTTTGGCTAGTGATGGGCTATGTGTTGTTGTCTCAAATGAGGTTTCAAATTATATTCATTTATTTCCCTTTTTTCTATTTGATTACTATAGTGCATCTCCATCATAAATAACCACCAAAATGTAGATAGATTAAGCTCTGCTGAGAAGCGTTGGATTAGTTAGGACGTCTTATATTTCTGACTCACCTAAAATTTTAATGTTTCTTCAAGAAGCTGTTGCTATTATCAAACCAATTGAGGGTGCATAGGAGGAAGCAAAGAGGTTGTTGCAAGAAGCATATCAGAGAGGTAGTGCTGACATGCTCACTTGTGTTGTTGTTCATTTCTTGATGAGCCAAGGCGTTTCTTGTCATGTCAAACTCATTATGATCCTCTTACATATAGTTCTAGCTGTCTCGCTTCAGTAAATGAGCCCATCTTTATAGCTAGCAAAGAATCAATGTGTGTAAATAGTGTGGCTAGAGTTCTGGTTGCACATGCTGTATGTAAACGTGGTTCTTTTTGTCCATCCAATTCTCGTAGCCTAGTTGTTTTAATTCCATTCAACATTGTTTATCTACATGAATTTATGGCTTGTAACAAGTGTAATATTATAAATATAAGAAGATCTTGTGTTTTTTCTTGTAGTGATGTTTCAATTTTATTCATGCATTTTTTGACTAGAGTTGAAAATTATGGATGAGCCCATTTGTCTTGTGAGGTAATATACGGTTTGGTTTGGAAACGAGACTGACTTATAACAATAATAATAATGAGGACTGATTTAAGCAACGACGAGTTAAGTGTAAGTATGATACTCAAGAAAAGCAATACACACACACACACAAAGGTTAGAACTTATCTCAGTTGGATGTACCAAATTTATCTCAGTCGAAAAGATGGCATTTATTTTGGAGAATTGTTGCATGCAACAAACGTGTAGATGCTGGTGAAGTAAAAAGACAACTGTATACAAAAAACATGTCTTGATTCCTTTACCTTTAATCCTTTTTATTATAAGGAAATGAGCTACACTAACAGATATTCCCTCTCGAGCATTCTCAAATAAAGATAAATTTTACTATACCAACTACCAAGCAAGTGTATGATTATTTGCATCCCAAATGCCACTGAAGTATGCATTACAATCATAACTGAATTCGAAAACAATTGCCGTATAAATAAAGAACTGAATCCATAAAAAAACATCTATAATCAATGCATATTTATTTCTTTGCAAGAGTGCTTATTATGTCCTCATTTCTTGCAATTTTCACAAATATTGGTTTGCTTTGATGCTTCTTTAATCCCGCTACGAATCCTTTTTTGGCCTTTTGTCTGGGAAATGTAGGGATCCTTCAAATTCATCATAAAAGACTCTTCGAGTTGAGAATTCAAGCACTAAACGTCAGTATCCCCAAGAGGATTACTCTCCCCATATGTTGGAAACTTTTCAGCAGATGTAGCAAGAGAATCAAGACCATCAGAAATAAATTTAAATGTTTCATCTGACCTTTGTGCAAGTTCAATAAGTCTATAACATTTAGAGCTTAGGTGAAGGTTGTGAACCAATCCATCTCTATTAAGAAAACACATTTCTCTGCCTGTACTTAGCATATCATTTCTTTCCTTGCGCCAATGTCTCAAAATAAAGTATTCAGGTATCTGCTCAACATTTTCAACAAAAAAAGCAAGAACATGCCGACATAAGATTCTTATGAACTCAAAATAAAGACACGAATACCTAGCTTCTCTACTTTCCAACTTTATCTCAATTATTGCTAAATCTTTTATATCTCTCTTATTAAAAACTCGATAGGTAACCCATTCACCATCAATTTTAAGTTTCTCCTTAAAGAAACTTAGGATATGAGATAGCTCATTAACAAACTTTACATAAATTGCACGTGTATACACTCTTGTTGCATGCTCCTCCAATAACATATTGAATTGCAAGTGCTTTTCTTTGGGCATGGATTCAAAATTTTCCTTTTTCAATGACTCGTAGCGAGCATCTACTGCTTGGTTGTATTTCTCCACAAATTCTTTCAAGGTTGTGCCAAATGTAACAAAATCATCAAAGAATGCATTGATGTTTTTGTTGCGCTAAGTAGTGTGCATACCGAAAAAAATGGAACGGTTAAACACTAGTACCCAAGAGGATCTAATTGAATAAAGTGAATGCATCCACTCATTCCCAATAAGACCATACTCAACAATAAGACGATGCTAGTTGTTTTCAAATTCTTGAATATTATACAATGATTTAATTCCTTCTTAAAAGACCCATAGTCTTGGTACATATGGGACAACTTCTTTGGAAACTTTCTGATAATATGCCACATACAAAATCAATGTTTGATATTTGGAACAACTTTGGATACTGCATTGCTAATTGCCTTGTCTTGCAAGGTTATAAGATCAACTACATGTGTAAGTATGCAATCACTAATATATGAAATAATTCAAAATATGGAATTATATTGATTATACACAGTCAGTAATTATTGTGCTTGGATGTTTTCCATTCATTGCTCGATGTCATTCCTCAAATATCCACACAAAAGTATCCTCAGTTTCATCTTTTAATAGAGCACAACTAAACAAGATTGATTGCGAATGGTTATTCACACCGACTAAGGGTCCAAAAGGAAATGCATACTTGTTAGTCCTATATGTCGTGTCAAACGTGATGACATCTCCAAAAAGCTCATGGGATTGTCTGAACATCGCATCAATACAAAAAATACTTTCCATACGATCGTCATTGTCATACTTGATCGAATAAAAGAAATTTGGATTCATTTTTTGTTGTCTATTACAATAACGTACCACGGCTTGTGCATCCCCAGCGTTATATATTTTCCTCCTTATATTTTTCATATGATTATAACAATCTCGACTGTCAAACAATTAATCGTGGCCTCATAGGATGGCGGCCACCTTTCTAGTGGGCAAACCCGACTTACTGAATTCTTCTTGATTGTTAGCTTCATGTAATTCTTCTTGGTTTGTCATGCTCGGAGCAAAAAAAATTTTGCCATATCAAATGCATTGTAAAAGTCTATTACATCTTTCCTTTCAGAAAATTTCATTCCAACCTCAATTGAAATATCAATATTCTTTGTCAGTGTCAATGGAATGTCATTTGACATACTATTAATTAAGTCATTATGTATGTGCTCTTCCATTTCATGAGACATGTCATATTCATTCTTATCACTAAAGTCAATGTAATATGTTGGATCCTCATCAATATCTCCAAGTTGTGTAAAATTGATCCCTATATCATTCATTTGAATTCTTTCCATACTGTTGACAAAAGAAAGTAACAGTGAGCACACATAGACTAAAATATAGAATGAAGCAATTTTATACATAATTTGTTAAAACATTAATGCATGCACGAAGTCTGTATCATCCATCTAAATTTTTTTCCATACTGTTGACAAAAGAAAGCAACAGTGAGCACACAGAGACTAAAATATAGAATGAGTTTAAGAAAAATTCAGCATTGTACAAGAAAAATGAGTTTAAGAAAGTATATATTAATTCATGTTAACTTAAGAGAGACAGAGACAAGTAGGGCTTGTAAGTACATAAAAATTACTGTACATAAAAATGAGTTTATGGCAAAGGCTTTGTGTGTGAATAATTTAAAAAACGACCTTCCTAGCCTTCCAATTAGAGGATGAATTGAAACTCACAACAAGATTTTACGTTTGTTCTTGAACTTCCGAAATAAACTTTTGTCTGTCAGCAAAATGTAAGAATTGTTTCCAACAAAAATTTATTTGGCCTTTCTAAGTCATACTATTGGCATCTTGGGCATCAACCACGTTCAACTAAACTATTTTACCAGAGTCATAACAAATAGAGTGAACAAAAAATTAATTCAAACTCACAAGGGATTTTGATCCTATGTGATTCTCTGTCTCAGTCTTTGTCAATAGAGAGAAAGGATGGGAGGCAGTGATGAGAAAGAGAAAGGGTAAAAGTGTTTATCTTATCCCGCAAATCTCCACCATTAGATGAGATTATAATCTAACAGTATTGAGAAAGGTAGATAAAGTGGACAAAAATAAGGATAAACGAAATAACTTATCCCTATTAATATAGTCGCTGGAATAAAAGTTGGTGTTTCAAAAAAAAAGTTGGTATTCATTTAGTTATTCAATCATAAAAAATGATATCAAAATCGTTCTCTTTATGAATGACAAACTAAATTGATGAATGATAAACTATACTTGTGAATGATAAAATAAGTTGATATTTAAAACTTAAATTGATGTATATTTTATGAATGATAAACTACAGTTGTGAATGTTATTTTATATTATTAAGAAATTAAATTAACTAACTTTTTTAAATTAATAATTTTTACAATAAAAATTAAATTAATGCAATTTTTTTAAAATAATAAATTTAAAGTCATTCATTTATTTGGAAGCTAAATTATCTTGTTCCAAATGAATGTTTTAGGCCGAGCTCAAATTTCAAATTTTTAAGTTTTTTATTCGGGTATTTCAAGATTTAATGCAAATTGATTTGATCTTTGATCCAATAGATGATGATGCAAATGCTGATATTATGGAAGAGATAATTGAAGAAAAAACCAAAATAGACAAACCTTGGTGGGAAAAGATGTACGGTGAGGTCCACGGAGAAAAAAGAAAAGTTATACAAAATTATATTTTTAAAAAAATTGTTGTTATTTAATCTATAATTTTCTCATCATGCAATTTCTATTATTTAGTGTATAATACTTAACATAAATTTTGTAATTAAAAAAAATTACAACATTTGTTTTGAGTAATATCAAAGTGAAATATTTTTAAAGAAGGTTTTTTAGCAATGATATTTTTTTTTTTTTTTTTTTTATAACAAGATATTTTTTAATCAATGAGACTCGACAAAAGCACTTCAAATAAAACCTTATCCAATCCTTCAATTGATTTGACCCGACACATTAGGCCTTGTAACTGGGCCACTCTATTACAAAATTAAATGCTGTTGACCTACCTTGTTCAACATAACTTTAGTTTTAACACGTGATTTTCATTGACAAAGAATTCTGTAATTGGTTATTTGCTTTTTTTCGGGCAAAAAAAAATATTATTTTTTTAATAAATATTTATGAAAACATAATTATTTTAAATGTAAATACGAATCTATAGCATTCAAACAAGTCCTACAGGAGGTGTGACCTGATGGAGAGAGACATGCCCCACATGAGGCGTGACTCACTAGGTGCTGACATGTGGTACAAAAAGTCAACAGATTGACTGTAAAAATTTGGAAGGCCATAATTTTTGACTCAGATGTTTGAATTAGGTATTTTTTTATTCCACATAACTTTTCGAGATCTACGCAATTAGGTCTCATTGAAGGGGATTTGGTGAAATTTTTTTTCAAAATTTTGGATATTTCATCGTAAAATTTCGGAAGGCCATAACTTTGGTCCCAGGTGCCCGAATCAGTTTTTCTTTACATTCTGCATAACTTTTCGAGACGAATGTGTTGGTAAGTCCCCGATCAATTTTTTTTTTCCAAAAATTGCTTCCATGTGTTCCGGTTTGCATATTCTATATCTGTGAGTGTGATCGATGTTATTTAAGTTGAAGTTTTGTCTCCTATAAATATAATTTCAATTTGCAACAATGGTATCATAACTATAAGAATCTTTCCCAGGAATATTTCTAATCATGAGAGTGATTTTCTCTTTATTAATATGGGTTTAAACATTCTAATAGTATCATTGTTGTAAATTCAAACTTTTTTTTGTGAGAGGTAAAATATGCCAAATGAGGTGTCATTGCATAAATCTCGAAAAATAATGTGGAATCAAATTTTTTTTACCTAATTCAGATACCCAAGTCAAAAGTTACGGACTTCCAAAGTTTCACGATCAAACTGTTGACTTTTTGTGCCACGTGTCAGCACCTGGTGGGGCGTGTTTTTACCTAAAACACGCCCCTGCAGGGCATGTCTCTCTTCATCAGGTCACACCCCCTGTGGGGCGTGTTTGAGTGCTATAAATTTGTATTTACATTTAAAACGACTACGTTTTCGTAATTTTTTATATTAAAATAACAATATATTAATTTTTTTGCCGATGTTTTTCTATAGATAATTTAGAGGTATCCCCGCATAATCTCCTTCAACGACCTTATTCTCAGAGTATGGCCCCTATGGTTAGCTTCTCATTGGAATAAAGGGTTTAGGAGAAAGGGTGAGACTAATCTCCTTTCGAGGGGAGGCAGTTTCTCTCTAACTCTCAGTGTTATACGTATGATTAGAGTATTGATGAAATGGTTTTTTGAAATTTGATTATTATTAAATTATTTTTTAAAGAATAAATTATTATCTCATATTTTGTATTAAGTTAATTTTTTAAAAATAAAAAATTATTATTGATTTCATTTATATAAAAAATTAAAACACTGGCATGAAAAGGTAAGTTAAAAAATTAATATAATAACACTAAGCTTTTATACTTTTCTATAGAAGTCATGTTCTTATATAAGGCTCTAACTTACATAAATAGAAAATAATAACACGTACATGTAATGGTTATAAAATATATGAAAAGCCATAAGTTATACTTCAACTATCCATTAATATAATGATTACAAGATACATCAAAAGCCATTATAAACTAACTAGTCATCCAAATAAATATTTTACAACAATTTTGCAAAATTAACTGTCATATTAGTAGAATACTTTGATTTATTTCTTTTTAAACTCTTAAACTACGAGTTTCCCTAACATCCCACGTGTCTTGACCACGTCAGACACCAATAATAAGTTCTGGTTTACTCCAATCTAGTCAATCAACCATAATATGCCTTGAATGGTGAAATTTTTTAATTGTAAACACTGCAACTTTTTTTTTAATGAAGAGCAATGCATTTTATAATGTAATTTATAGTTTTTTTTTTTAATAATGATCAAATTCTAAATATTTTTCCTAATCTTAATTATAGATTATGACAACAATACGCATTGGTATCAACAAAAATAAAAAGGTTTAATTATTAAGAGTTTCAACATTAGTATAAAAAAAAAGGGTTTTATAATTTTCATGTAATATGAAAATTTAAATTTTCCTACACATTCTTTGATTTTCGTATTGCGTGGATTTCACACATAATTTTTTTTAATATATAAGTCTTACATATTTTTTGTCTTTCCAACATAAGATTTTCAATTCTCATGTAACATGAGAATTAAAAAATCAAATTTTTTTTTTCAAATCTTCCTAACGCAAGTTAGTCAACTCAAACCACTTTAATTATTGTAGTTAGATAATCCACCTGAGTTGTGATTGAACAATTTATATAATGTCTTTATTTTACAACTTTGACATTGATATTGACATTACAATTCTTAAATTTTATTTTATTAATGGGTGTTGTAACATTAATGAGTTGTTAAGGAGAACCAACCATACAAGATCTTAGTATAATGTTATCATTTCAAATATGTGAAAATATTTATGAAAAAGAATAATATTTTTTTCTGGTACAAAAAAAAGAATAACATTAAATATATTTAGATTGATTATGTTGATCCAGCTGTTCTGATTTAATTTTTTAAAAACATTCTTTTTTATATATTTAATATTTATTTTTACCTTTGTATGATTATTATTATCCATATTTAAACATTATATATAAGTAATCATAACTATATAAAGGTGAAAATAAATATAATTAGTGGATCAACATAATCAATCTAACAGTAAAATAAAATAAATTGACAATGACATTAATAGTAATACTAATTAATAGTAATAATATCTCATCTTTAAAAAATTAATGATTAAAATATAATTATAAGATATTACAAATGAAAATAGACTTTACATATTTCTTTCATACCCAATGAGTAGAAAAATTTCACCCAACACTGTTAGGAAGTGATGATAACTCATTGACTCATCCTCATCCAAAAGCACGCTATGTATTTGACACATTCTGCAATTTCAAGCCCATCACCACCATTCAGCTTCTTCCAGAATTAAGAGTCCCTCTCTTATCTTTAGATCAACACTCTCTTTGCTGAAAGGTAACTCCTTTTCCATCTTTTTACACATCTCAAAGTGCACTTCTTTTTTAACTCTCTCCATGCCTATGAATTCATGTGTTTACAGTTTCTGTGTGCAACTTTGTAGCTTTACACCTTTTTGCTGATATCAGCATGAATTTCCTGTTAAAAGTCTCTTTTTTTCATATATCCTTATTTGGGTTTAGCTTTATTTGGTCATTAATGTTATTAACTGAGCAAAATACCCATTTTCTACCCTTTTCAACTTCGTTCAATTATCATGTCAATTCTGATTTTTGGTAAATTTATTGGAAGAAAAGTAGTAAGCTAGAAAAAGATATATTTTATTCATTTTTTTCTTTTTGGTAATATTTTGGGTTCTGTATTAGTCAATTTTCAAGTGACACAATTTTGTGAATTTTAATGATTTTTATCTGAGGCTATCTGTTAATCATGTTTTTGGGTTGCCAAAGTTTTCAACTTTTTATGTTCCAGTTCTTTGATTGTAAGAGGGTCTATAATTTTTATTATAAAGAAAATAATTTCAACTTATTAATGTGTAATTTTCCTTGTATTCCTCCAAAGTTATTCGATTTTTTGTGGAAAGCTAGTTGCTTGAAGAATTTTTCTTCCAAATCACCTTGATTGTGAAGATTTTCAGTTTATGCAATATCAGTATGTGTGAGGTTGAGCTTTAGCTGTTTTGCTTCATATCAGGGTCTGATATTTGGGAATTATGTCTGAAGTGAAAAACAAAATGGATTTCATCGATTTGCTTGGACCTGACATGTCAGTAAAGATTCTCACCCATTTGGATGACCCTTGTGACCTTGTTCGTGTTTCTACTGTTTCCAGTTCTTGGCACCGATTTGGTAAGCCAATTTGGGTTTTAATTACTTGCAGTGATAGGATTTTATTGTGTTTTGGACTTTTGGTCCAAAATGTCTATATTTTTATTTGCTTAAATGCCTCACTTCTTTGGAAAAATTTTATGCATGATATGTTAAATTTGTTATGGCTTCTAAAAGTTTAACTTCTCTAATGCTATATTATCCTGTAAAAATGATCTCTCTCTCTGAGGGGCTCATTGTTCTTTGCTTTTATTTTGCTATTAAAATGGTATGAATAGGCACTCTAAAAATTTTGCAGTTATTGAAAACGGCCTCTGCAAGCAACTTTGCTTGAAAAAGTTTCCTGAATTTACTGGTGTTGCTCATGTCATTGAGGTAGACAACATGATTGAACCAGTAAGCAACGTGCTTGGAAGTTCTATGAATTGGGAGTGTCTTGAGAGAAATCATAATGTCTATGCATTTCTGGCTTCTGGTCTTACTCCTTCTATGAAGAAAAATTGCATCTCAAAAGCCATTAGTGCATCCAGCACTGATAACTACCCTGAAGAAAGTGTTCTGAATACATTGGAGCCTAGGGAAAGAACTGATTATAGAGCATCATACTGGTCAAGTGAAGGGGAAAACGATCCTTCTGTTCCTGAGACTTTAGTTTATAAGCTAATTTCCAAAATATGTCTTGTTACGGAGATTCATGTCCAACCATTCCAAGGTTAGCCTTGCAGCTAAGTTGATGAATTGTGTGTATCAAGTTGAACTGAAAAATAAGTAATCTTGAGGTTCCTAAGCTTTTGCTTGATCAACTGACATAGAATCTATGTTTACTTATCAGCATATTTTCAGCATGGCCTCCCTATATATTCTGCTAAGGCTGTCCGATTCAAAATGGGCCATCCGAGATACCCAATGGAATTAGAGTCTCTTGTAGCTGATAATATTACTGCTAATCACGTGTTGGGGGATAATCAATTCGTATGGACATATACTTCACCTGAATTTCCAATGTTTCAGGTGAGTTGCACTGTTATCATGCAGGTTTTGCATATTCTTTTCTACTCTTTCAAATCACTCAACAAGGAGGAAGCTTGAGATTCATCTACTGATTTTTTCTGGGCACCATCGACTTATTCATGTAATGTAATTGTCATTGTGGGTTTAATTGCATTTTTGTATATATTTTAAATATCGTTATCTAATTTAATGCATTTATAGCATGAGACTTGATATGCAGCTTTTCTGGATTAATAGCAGATCTTCAGCTTGATTAATTGGCAGAATGAGACTAGAGAAGTAATCCTGTTAGTATTTAATGAAATGAATGCTTGATAATCACTCAGATCTGTGTTCTTCTTTTGGGTGTAGCAACATTGGTACCTGCTGAATATAGCAAGCATGGATTTGAAATTTATCCATTTTAGATTGATACTGCATTTTTTTAGCATATAATATTCCTTACATAAGAGGGTGAGCCTAGAGTAGTGATAAAACTACTCCTTTGTGATTGAAAGGTCACAGATTCGAATCCGTGAAACAGTCTCTTTGTAAATATGCAAGGGTAAGACTATGTACAAGGATTGTCTTTACCCCACCCTTACTAGTCAGGATTTAATGGGGAGTGATTTTTATAATATTCGTTGCATGTGAAACTTGTGATGATAAACTTGTGATGATATACTGGCTCTACAGGAAAACTGTTTACAACAATTCAAGCTACCTGAACCTGTTCTGTGCATTGGAGGTGTGCTGCTAGTTGAGCTGTTGGGTAGAGTTCAAAAACAAGAAATGGATGAATTATTCTACATATGGTTAGTTTTGCAAATCATATCTCTTTCCCTCTCGCATGCACGCATTGAATTAATGTTGTTTAGCTCAAATTTATGTTGAAGACCATTATTGATTTATTGTTAATTGAATTGAAATTGAGAACTTGGTCAATTTCCCTTTCAATCTATTTATTCTTCAATTTGACACTCGTGCGTTCATGACATCTATGACCACTCATGAGTCATGGAAAGGGTTTTGATGGAAGTTCAGCATATTATTCTTGGCATTTGTTTTCCAAAGATGACAACTAATGCAATGAAAGATAAACATTTTATAATATGATATACTGCTACACCCTATGCTGAATAATTGGTCAAAGAACCGAAACTTCTTTCTTTTAGAGCTCTTTCTCGTAGTTTATTGTCTACAGCTTATTAGTATTGTCATTTGTTTCCTGCTTGAACAAATTTTCTTTGAGTCTATGTCTAGTGACTTTAGAGGTATAGTTCAGTTGGCAACATAGTCTCACTTGGTGAGAAGAATCTGGGTTCGATTCTCACCAAATATATCTTTGAGGAGGAGCGAAGAATTTTAACTATGACTAAACCTTGACTTGGTATTAGTTCCATAGCCGGCTTTAAGAGTTGAAACTTGTGAAGATACCCGGGAGGTTGACTCGCCTCAAAGAGGTAGTTAGAGTCGGTATAAAAATAAAAAAAAAATAAAAAAAAAAGAACTAGATTTCTTAAGATCAAATGTTTCTTTTTCGTAAGAAAAAAATGAAATAAATTATGATAAGTTTGCTTATCTGTTTTCCAACTGTGATGAATTGGATAACTGTGGTGCAGCATCTCCCATGTTCAAGTTGTGGGACGACCACTTTCACCAGCATTTGATGTCAAAATTCATCATCCATCAGGAAAGTGTACCTTGAAATACTGTCCTCAAGCAGATAGTTGTATGTCTTCAACATCATCATCATCGACAAGAAGAGACTCGAGCAATCCTTCGCGCCTGCGAGCATTAACCTCGAGTTTAATGCAGAGGGGTGTGAGACGTTGGGAGCAAATTATCTTGGGTGCACTGCTTGGTTCTGGTTCTGTTGAAGTTGATGATCAATAGAATGTAAGAGAATCAAGTACCTCAATTCTCAAAGAAATTGGGAAACCTGTGTGTACATGTGAGCTGGATTTTAATAAGCATTAGGAATCAGTTGGTTTTGGCTGGTAGATAATAAGTCAAACTCAAATTTGTGCAGGGCCAAACATCTGTATAGTATGTGTTCTGCACAATGAATAGTGGGTGTAGTTGCAGAGTTTGATCTTTATCAATTTCTGATCATGATCATATTTGTACATTGTATTCCTTCTAATAGCAGTTATAATAATCTTGTTAATTATTAAAACAGGTCTTGGTAAAGCATTGCTAATTTACTGTTGTAATCTAGATTCACCTTAAGCATTATGTTAGTATGATTAGGAATAATCAGACACATAAGACCTTAATCTTGGACGTTAATGACGTTTGAGAGTGAGTAGAGTTGGAAATCATTTAATTCATAATCAAATTAAAGGATCTTGGAAGACCAAACTTGTAAATTATAACGATCAGGTAATAAAGAATAAGACTTATTATTTTTATATCGGTGTAAATTGAAATTGTCTATTTATATGTATTCAAATTTATTTATCTTAACCTATTGCATGTATGCTTGTTGAAACTGATTTAAGATATCGATTTTCAAAAACAGTTGCATATGCATTTTTAAAGAGTCTCTTCAATTCCTTTTCTAATGAGAGTTTATTTTCTTTTGGGTTTTATTACTTATATTTTGATTTATTTAATTTTTCTTAATATTATTGTGTATCAATTCTTATATTTTTAAATTTTTGTTTTTATAATTTGTATTCGTCATAAGATGTTTCGATTCTTTATTAAAAAAAGATTCTTATAAATTCTTATTCAGGTATTAGTTCAGGAGAGAGCAAACAAAGCTTTAATATTATAAAATTATGAGATCTATACATAAGAAAAAAATTATAAATATCAAAACCTAAATGAGGGAGAAAAAACAAACAAACAATACAATGAAACTATGAACTTTGAACCTATTACCTTCTACAAATTATTGAAGAATACTGTTATTTATATATTTTTTATTGTACCATTATTATATATTTTTTAAATAAAACAAGAGAAAATATATTTTTTCAATACTCTATTTTTCCAACTGGAAAAAGTTTAGGCTGGTGTGTCAATATTGATGTACGAATAAAAACTTTCTCTTACCATAATAGTATCATATACAAATTGGATAACGTAAAAACTGCAAATTTTTTTTTAATGAAGAGCAACGAATTGAATAATGTAATTTAGTGTTTTTTAATAATAATCAAATTATAAACAGTTTTATATACAAAAAAAAAAATTATAAACATTTTCCCTAATCCTAATTATATATTACGACAACAATACGCATTGGTATCAACAAAAACAATAAGGTTTAATTATCAAGGGTTTCAACATTAGTATAATAAAAAATAACAAGAAAACAAAGGGCCTGCTTAAAATCTATTTTAAATAATAGTTTTTTGATTTTCAGAAGAAAAAAAAAGCATGTTTCATAATACCTGTTTTAATAGTTCTGAAAATCGTAACTATTTTTTTATAATCAAATTTAAAGAATATATATGTGTTGTTTTTATTTTATGTTTTGATTTTTAACTTTTAAAACAAAAAAATATATAAAAAATAATATTCCATCGACTATTCTACAAAATAATTTAAAAAAAAGACAGTCCAACCACTTTAATTATTGGAGTTATATAATCCACGTAAGTTGTGATTGAACAATTTGTGTAATGTCTTTGTTTTACAGCTTTGACATTGACATTCACAATATAATTCTCAAATTTCATGTTATTAATGGGTCTTGCAACATTTATGAGTTGTTCACGAGAACCAACCATACAAGTGCTTAGTATAATGTTATCATTTCAAATATGTGAAAAATATTTATGAAAAAGAATAATATTTTGTAACAATCAATGTCACAATGAACTCTTCTTATCTGTGCTTGCATGCATAGCCTGTCCTAAGTAAGATAAATGAGGAGGGTTTGCGTCAAGTATAGCGAGCCGATGATAAAAAGTAGCTATATTTATGAGACGAACCCTTATGATTTTTCATTAAGGCATACCCTTTTTTAGTGACGCATTGCATCCGGCCCCGGGTGTAGAGAAAAATGGGCTAAGGCCTTTGCCACAAGGCAAAGCGCTGCATTGGTCCCGAGGTGTAGTGATAAATGAGCTATGGTCTTTGCCTCAAGGAAAGGCTCTAGGTCGTCACTCAAATTTTAGGTCGGGGTCCCAACACGCAGATGGGCGAGTGTGGCGTGCAAGTACAACCCAGTGGTTAAAGATGCGATTGGGAAGGTAGAACATAGGAACCTTAACGGGTAAATTGAGGGAGTTAACATATGTTTTTGCTAGAAAGAAAGTGAATATTGTTTGCTTACAAGAAACTATGTGGGTTGGAGAAAAAGCCAAGGAAGTAGATAGTACATGTTTCAAGTTGTGGTACACAGGTATAAACAAGATTCGAAATGGTATTGGAATTATAATCGATAAAAGTTTCAGAGATAAAGTTTTTGATGTCAAAAGGAAAGGTGACATGATTATTCTGGTTAAGATTGTAGTGAGTGACTTAATTCTGAATATCCTCCATGTGTATGCACCCTAAGTTGGATTGCAATCAAACGATAAGAGCTATTTTGGGAAGATTTGGAGGAGGTTTTGGGGAAAATATCACGAGAGGAGAATATTTTCTTAAGCGGAGACCTAAATGGTCATGTTGGTAAAAGCAGTGGAGGATTTGATAGAATCCATGGAGGTTTTGGCTATGAGATGAGAAATGAGACTAGAGAAGATATCTTGAACGTTACACTAGCCTATAATTTGATGCTAGCGAACACCTTTTTTTCCGAAAAAGTGAGTCACATCTAATCACATATCGTGAACAACTAATTTTATCCCAAATATTTAAAACTAACAAAAATTAATTTAAATTATGAATCCTATTTTGAGAATAAATATTATTATGTATTAAAAACAATTCATTTTTGTTATTTTTCCAAAAAAAAAGTGAGGAGAAGGTACGCATCATCGGTATCCCCAATGCTTTCATCAATGTCAATATCACACTGCTCAAAAGGGAGCAACTCAACAAGCCATCGCCTGCAAGCTGGCTCACTTTGCTTAGAAAGAAAACCAGAGAACAAAAATAGGAAGGGAGCAGAGTTGAGAGTTGGAAGCAATGGCCAGAAGAAGAAATTAGATAAGACTATTCAGTTTGTCTTGTAATGCATCGAAAAACTCTGCATGAAAAGAATGTTGCATCCCATCTGCTGCAAATCTCAAGATAGATGCCTGATCCATTCTCACTAAGGCTAGAGATATGGGGAGAAAAAAAGGATAGACGGGAGAGAATCAGTGACACACACACACACACACACACACACGAAGAGAGGATATTTTTTCTGAGAGGGGAACGCACCAAGGAGAGAGTGTTCTTGGGAGAGGTTGAGAAAAGTAACGAAAAATCTTCACAAGATAGGGATGTCGATTAGTGAAAAGAAAGGGGAGTTTCAAGACATAAACACCCTTTGTGCATGCACGAACTCCTCTTTCATTTCCATTACCTGGGCCGTGAAAATGATTCACCATCATTATAAAATTGCCAACCTTAACTCCATCTCTTCACCCATTTTCTACTCTCCTAAATGAATCAGAACCATCATTGCCATTTTTTTTCTTTTCTATTGGTCCTTCTCACCTTTTCTTGACTCCTAATCAGGTGAAGGTAGTGGAGAGCTTAGGAACTGACATCGAACAACCACAAGAAGAATCTCAGTAGTGACAAATGAAGAAATGGCTAAACCTAGTGCAAAAAGCATTAATTAATTGATAAGTATACAGTCCAGTTCTCTTTTACTGTGTGACTATTTTAATAAGATTAAAGGTTGTTTTGTAGGACCATTTTGGTGGTGTTTCCAAGTGATGTTGATGTATCTTAAAAATGGAGGATTGTTTAGGTGTATGTAGTTTTTGTTTTACACAGGTATAACATTCACTAAAGTTCAAGCCATGTAGCCTTTATTTTTATTTTCATATCAAGAAAAAATAAAAAATATAAGTTAGGTTAGTGGGTTGAAAGGATAATTGATCACCATGGAGACTGCACACCTGCCATTTCTGTTAAAATCTATCGCCTCTGCCTAATTCGCCACATGTAGGGCTGTGCATGGGTCAGGTCGGGTTTTTGTGCCGACCCGACCCAACTTGGTTTTATAGGTCAGGTATTTTAATCCGACCTGATTTAATTTGATCCAAGTCAGGTCTGACCTGATTTGAATTTTTTTGAACTTGGTCATATTGATCTGACTTGGTTTCTGAAGTGGGTCTGACTTGATTTCAAAATCGGGTCAAATCTGACCTAACCCGCTTTTGACTTGGTTTCAAAACTTGCTTTTGATCAAAAAAAATTTGTAGTTATTGATTTAATTTTAAACTCATATAATTTAATTATTTATTTATTTTAAAATATATAAATTATATAATAAATTTGATATTTGTTGAATAAATAAAGGAATGTAATTTTTTTATACATCACTGTTCTTAGCTTATAGTTGTTACAAGTGAAAAAGGCTTTTCATTCTTAATGGATTTCCCTTCCTCACTGTTTTCGATGAGGTAAGCACCAAAAGGAAAGCACTGAGTGGAATACTTCCTGAGAAATTATTCAACTGCATTAAAAGGTGTCATGTAAGTTGTTATAGCGAGAAAATGATACAAGGAAGACAAGTTAAAATTCATAAACCAAGGTTCATGCACTTCAAAACCTACTTCTTATCTTAGATAGATACCAGCACAACATAATCTTATGCTCTAAAATTGTGAACAGGTTATAACAGCAAGAAAAACAAAGGGAAAAAAACAGAAAGGAAGAACAATTCCAACATTTCTAATTATTGTTTCATAAAGAAAACGACAACACATATTACAAAATAATTACATTGAAGGTGTGAGAAAGGTTCTAGGCTTCTAGCAATAGTATAATAGCAAGGAGAAATTTGATTTTACTCAATTAATGACTACATAGCAACAGACACATATATTACAAATAACTTCTTTTGTTTGACACTATGACTTTGTAAACTACTATAAAGATGGCATCATACAACTATTACAGTTTTCTAGCCAAGGACCACAAACAAATCGAAATCAAAGACTTAATATTATAGTCAATGACAAAATGGTAGAGGGTCATTTATGTCTATTTGGTAAAGAACCCTAAACCTCCAAATTGCCTTATCGCCCACAGAGAGAAGATAGAACCC